AGGAAGGCAGTTAAAACAAAAGATGAAAATGAGATAGAATCTCCTAACACCCTTAATGTCAAGGTTTCAACAGAGAATTGCTCATCATACCAAGAACCAGGATGATCTCAAACTGCAGGGAAAAAGCCGGTGCTAACACCAAGATGGTAGAGATATTAGAATTATCTGATAAACATTTTAAAGCAACCACCGTTAAAATGCTTCAAAGAGCAATGACAAATATTCTTGAAACAAATTAAAGAGTAGGAAATCCCAGACAAAAGAGAGAAAATATAACGAACTAAATGGAAATTTCATAACTGAAAAATACAACAGCAACAAACAGCAATAACCAAAACACACCCCCGGAGGGAAGCCCCCAACAGCAGAACAGAGGAGCGAAGTGGACTGAAAGGCAGGACAGCATGAAACATGCAATCTGAACAGCGGAGAGAAGACAATGGGCGGGGGAACAAAAGGAACAGAGCCCCCGGGACCTAGGGGGCGCTAGCAAAGGATCTAACTTCCGTGATGCTGGAGTTCTGGGAGAGGAAAAGAGGATGAAACTGAAAAAGTACTCCATTAAATAAAGGCTTAAGACATTCCAAGTCTCTCCAAAACAAAACGAAACATAAACACAGATTTAAGAAGCTGAGCAAACTTCAAACAGAATAAACCCAAAGAAATCCACATCAAGCCACATCATAGTCAAATGTCTGAAAAACAAAGAGAAAAAATATATATATAGAAAACAGACAGAAATGACAATACTTTTGGGGGAACAAATTTGAATGACAGCAAATTTTCGTTAGAATCTATGGAGGTCAGAGTACTTCTAAGAGCTGACAGAGAAGACCTACCAACCCAGAATCCTGTGTTCGGGTGACAGGTCCTCCCAGTAGAGGGAAATCAAGACATTTTCAGAAAAAGAAATAAATTCAGACTATTTGTCACTAGAAGACATATTTTTAAGAATGGCTAAAAGAGTTTTCTAAACAGAAAAGAAACTGAAAAAGAAAGACTACTGGAACATCAGTAAGGGAGAAACAACACAATAAGCAAAACTTTTGGTAATACTGGTTAAAACAATGGATTTTCCTTTCCTTCTTAACTTCTCTAAATTATGGTGATGGTTGAGGCAAAAACTGTCACACCACTAATATGATTCTAAATGTATGTAGAAGAAATATTTAAGGCAATTATAAACAGGGAGGATAAAGGGACATAAAAAGAGGTATGTTCTACACTTGACCCAAACTTGCCAATAATGACACTAGTAAACTATGAAAATCATAGATGTAAAAAAATCATTTGATAAAATCCGACAAATATTCCTGATTAAAAACTCTTAGCAAACTAAGAATAGATGGGGACTTTCTCAATCTGATAAGGGGCAGCTACTATAAACTTATAGCTAACATCATTATTAACGCTGGAAGACTGACTACTTTCCTCCTAAGATCAGAAACTCTCACAGATTCTATTCCACACTGTACTGGAGATTCAGTCCAGTTCAATACGGTAAGAAATAGAAATGAAAGAGATTCAGACTGGAACTAGAGAAGTAAAGCCGTCCTTATATGCAGATGACATGAGAATCTATTTAGAAAATGCTCTAAAAACAAAAAGTTACTAGAATGTAAAAAGTGACTTTACTAAAGATACAGGATACAAGATTAATGTACGAAAAACAACTGTATTTCTGTACACCTCTAATGAACAACTGAAAATTTAAAAACTGCCACTTATGCCAGTATCAAAAAGTATAAAATATTTAGGGTAAATCTGACAAAAGGCTGACAATATCCGTACATTGAAAATTACAAAACATTGCTGACAGAAAATAGAGAACCTGAGTAAAGGATATTGTCTGTGTTCATAGAAGTCTCAATATTTTTAAGGTGTAAATTCTCATCAAATTGATCTATAGATTCAATGTAATTCTGATCAAAACCTCAGCAGGACTTTTTTTTTTTTTGCAGAAATGGACAAGCTGATTCTGAATGTCATATGGAAATGCAGAGGACTTCAAATAATCAAAACAACTTTGCAAAAGAAAAACAAAGTTGAAGAACTAACATCATCTGATTGCAAGAGTTATTATAAAGTTACAATAATCAGGACAGTGGAGTAAAGATTAAAACAAACACTGATGGAACTTCAGAATCAAGAGTTCAAAAATAGACCCACTCACTAATGGACAGCTGATTTTTAACGAAAGTGCAGAACGATGCAGTGGAGAAATGATAATCTTTTCAACAAATGTTGAGGGAACACTGGCCTATCCATAGGCCCAAAAGTGAACTTTGACTGGCACCTCATACTACTTACAAAAATTAACTTAAAATGGATCATTGTAGGTTGAAATATCTATAGCTTCTAGAAGAAAATCTTCATGACCATGGGCTAGGCAAAGATATCTTAGATACAATGCCAAGAGCATAATTCATAAAAGAAAAAAAAAGATAAATTGGATTTCTTCAAAATTAAAGACAAAAAGCCACTATTAAGAAAATGAGAAGACAAGCTAGAGAAGACAGGCTATAGTCTGGGGCAAAACATTTGCAAGTCATATGTCTAATAAGGGGCTTAATATCCATACTATATAAAAAACTCCAAAAACTCAATAATAATAAGAAAACAAGCAGATGATATCACTTATATGTGGAATCTAAAAAAAAAAAGAAAAGGCAAACGAACTTATTTACAAAACAGAAACAGACTCACAGACATAGAAAACAAACTTATGGTTACGGGGAGGAGATGGGGGTGGGAAGGGATAAATTGGGAGTTTGAGATTTGCAGATACTAACTAATATACATAAAATAGATAAACAACAAGTTCATACTTATAGCAGAAGGCATTATATTCAACATCTTGTAGCAACTTATGGTGAAAAAGAATATGAAAATGAATATATGTGTGTTCATGTATGACTGAAGCATTGTGCTGTACACCAGAAATTGACACAACATTGTAAACTGACTATACTTCAATAAACATACATATACACAGAAAATGAGCAACACAGTTAAAAAATGGGCAAGATATTTAAACAGACATGTCATCAAAGAACATACATGAATGATCAACAAGTATATGAAAGGATGCTCATTAGCATTAACCAGAGAAGACGCAAATTAAAATCACAAAGAGATCTTGTTACACACTATTAGAATGACAAAAGAGTCTGACCCTGGTGAGGATGTGGAGCAAATGGAATTCTTACACACAGCTAGTGGACTCTTAGAAATAATGGGGCGATCATCAACCATATCTTTTCAGATCCCATTCAAGGAATCCATTCAAGGAACTGTCTTGATTTCTTCCCTGCCCAACTGCCTCTTCACCGGGCCGTGGTGAGCCAGCTCTGCAGTGTCACCCAGGGCCACCTCCAGCAGTAGTGAGCTTTCCACGGATCTCGCTTAGAAACAACCTTCTCATGTTCTCTTGGAGGCATCAGGCTATGCAGATAGTATAGTCTGTTCAATAACCAGTCTGCTCTCTTTAGGTTTGCTGTCCTTGGACTGAAGTAACTTCAAAGACAGCACAGTGCCCAGTTCAGTGAAAGAGAGGAAGGCAGAACGCACCATGACTCAGCAATCTGTTCTGGAGAGTTTTTTGAGGACTGAACACAACTCTGGGCGTGTGTCAGCCCTGAGCTGTGCGTTTCTGTCTGACTGTGCGGTTGGAGGAAGGGCCCCGGCTGAGACCAGGAAGGACCTGCTCTAAGCTGATAAAACTAACGCCCTTCTGTCAGGAACCCTGTGGTTTTTCTCTTTCTGGAAGCGACCAGACTAGGAGGAGGCACTTTTGCCCCAAGCATCCTTCTGTACGTTGCTCCGGGAATCAATTCGCGCACATGGGGCTGTGAGACCCTAAGCATCCACGACCCTGCGTTTCGTTTCGGGCGAACTGGGCAGTTTTCTCCCTTACACGCTGGGACTGCGAAGTTCCACACCCGCCCCTTGCCCTCCGGGGATGTGCTGGGGAGGCAGCCTCCAGGCTGGGGTGGAAAAAGGCAGGCGGCCGGCCGTGCAGCCCCGCGGACCTGCTGGGCGCGCGGTCCAGTCCGGAGCGGACCGCGCGGAGGCGGAGGTGCCGGCACAGCCTCGCCGTGACCTTGGCTGCGGTCTGAGCGTCTGCGCGAGCCAGAGCCCCAGACCCTGACAAAGCCGGGTTGCTAGCTCCACTTTGCTGTCTTTTACTGTTTCAAAAACTGTTCCGGGGCGTTTCCATCACTCTGAAATGACCAGCGAAAACTCTCCGGAGCTAACATCAATCAACGCAGAAAAGACAGGCTGAATTTTTTTTTTTTTTTGAACCCATGGTTGGTGCTTAAAGGGAGCTGTCAATCTAGAAGCCCCCTGGGCCCCACGTGCGTCTGCACAGCGGAGTATTTTTAGAGACTGTGCTCTCTGAGATTCCAGCTGGTGGACCCCAAGCCGGCTGCTGTCGCCCTCAGAGTGCACGTGGCTTTGCAGACTATGATGCAACCCAGCATGGGCTTAACTGATGCAAGGCACGGAGCTGTAGCCTAAGAACCTCGGGGCAGCACAGAAGGCCAGCTCGCATCCTTTGTCAAATTTCACTTTTTTTTTTTTTTAACTCTCGACAGGTTCAGATGCCATTTGGTGGGGGGAAAGGGATTCATCAAAAATTTGTAAATGGAGCGATCTACTAATAAAAATAAAAATCACCACCCCATCTCACAGGGTGGCCGGATATTTTGTTTTTCTTTGGCAATGATCCATCACTCAGTCATTGATTGAAATATACCCTATGCAGTACACGTATTTCTAAGGAACGTCTCCCTGAGTATTTGCTGGCTTGCTTCTGTATTAGGAGCCTGGGGAAGCTGACCCTCCAGGCAGGTGCTCTCTGCAACCCTCCTTCAAGCAGGGGTCGGGGCTGCTTTGGGCTCTGTCTTCTGTTCTGTCCCCCAAGCCTAGCACAGGGCTCAGAACAGGGAGGCCCCAAGCTCTTCATTTGTGAAGTGGGACAATGAGGGTCTTCTTACCGGTCCGAGGGCCTCCTCGTAGGGGTCCCGTTCACAGAGGAGAGGGATGCTGGAGGCTGCACAGACATGTCCTCGCCCTTCCTGCTCCTCACTTGGCCCATCTGTGAAATAACAGAAAGGGGACAGTCTTATCAGTAATGTTGGACTCATCATGACGAAATATTAACATTTGTTCATTCTGGAATGTAGGTCCTTAGGGGTTTGTTATATTATTCTCTGCAGTTTCTGTCTTTTTCAAAGTCTCCAGTCCTGATCAAAGAAGAGGAAAGAATTTTAAAATTTTTTTTAGACTTGTAGGAGATCTGGTGTCCTCCAGCTGGGCTTTCTCTGGCTCTCTGCACAGGGAAATGCTCGGTAAGCCCGGCGCTCGGAGGGATGAGATGTCACTGTCGCTCATGTTGTTTGTGCTCCTGTTTTTACTTTAGGAATTTACTAAGGCCCGGCAGCCGGTTTCCCCCCCGTCCTCACCCCCAGCTGTCTGAAACAGCTGTTTGCTCACCAGGCGCCTGGACTTGGGTTAGAAGTTTTCTAGTTGAAGGCAGGTGAGTCCAGAATGATTTCATTTATAATGTTCTGATTCAATTTCATCCAAACCTACCCAGCTCCACTCCCTCCTCCAACAACCCGACCTGTCCCAAGCGGAAGCACACACGGGTCTGAAGAGCAACTCCGACCTGTAGTCATTATCCATGTGCTTTGTACAATACGAGTCCCAAACTTCATCGGGCGTCCCAGACCACACGTGGCTCAAGAACACTCGCACGGACCTGCTCACTAACTTAAAAACAGCCAAACTAAATTAAGTAACAACAACAACAAAAAGTTGTTTCCCACACAGTTTGCCGTGCTCTTACCACCAGTTTTTCAGCCTGAAACAATTTCATGCTTGAGTTATTAACTTATGAAAATAGGCACAAAGGGGGGAAAATGTGAACAGATCCTCAGCTATATTATTAGTCATCGCTACGGCTGAACGCGTTCCGGCACAAAGGCGTGTTATTCTGCCCGCGCATCTCAGCTTTGAACAAAATGCAGCTCACTAATGGGTTATGCCTCGTATACCTTTTTGTAATCGTGCCATTGCCATGCTCTGTAACATATCCTGTTTTCCATTAGGAGTATGTGGATTAGGCAGACGTCCACTCAAGCGCGTGCACACAAAGGCACACACGCACACACATCTTTTAAGTCCCCTTTCATCTGTGTCTGAAAAGAAAGGTCACGGAGCTGTCAAGTCATTTGGGGGACATACCACTGTATTGACAGATAATTTTTTGAAACCAAGAGTGGTGGATGGATGTGAATGTAGCCTCTGAAAAACTGACTTGGGTAGCAGCATGATCGAGTGAAGGGAGTCTGGAAGCAATCTGGAGAAGGTGGAGGCAGAGTGGGAGAGTCTGACCTGGTTCACTTTGGTTTTGAGCCACGTTTTGAGCGTATGGATTTTTGCTCCTGTAAAGTCCAGAACTGGTCCTAGAAATCAAGGCTTTTGAGTGCTGACTTCTGAAAACAATGACAGCAAAAATAACCAGCAAGAAAATCATCAGGGGAAAAAAACACAGAAGGGATGTGAGAAGCTTGGAGGAGGTCAAGGTTTTCACAAACAATTGTGAATCCTAGAACCATCTCCTAAACAGATCAGAGCTGGGGATCCCAGAAGCAGCCCTCAGCCCCCAGCAGGGAGCCTCCCCACAATTCTCAGCTGGCAGAGAAGCCCTCCTCTTCCCCCTGGGTTGGGATAATGTGATTCTCCCCCAGACCCTCGCCTGGCCAGGAGTGGCAGTAATTTGCCACCAAATGTGCTCTTTGAACCTCTCTGAAGTGTTAATGAAGGCTTTGATTTTTGTTCTTTCCTCCTCATTAAGACAAAGGTGGCTCCACTTTGCCCTGGGAATCTGATCTCACCTCCCAAGCCAGCTGCTCATCTTCCTGCTCAGGTGAACCTGAATCCTGCCAGGAGGTCCCCTCCTGCCAGGTGGCAGAAATGCCTGACTTACAAAAGTCCACTCTGCCAGGGCTCTGACCCAGACCTCTGAGCTTCACGCTGCTCCCAGAGCCCAGGACACATCACCAGCAGTCCCAGCTCACATGAAGACACAGAGACACTGGTGTTACCTCTCCACCCAGGATGTCCTGTCGGATATGTTTGCCAGAAGCTGTACCTTGTGGGGGCGACCAGGGTAGACAGAACTCAGAAGGACCGAGACCCCCTCCCCAAATCTGGAATCTTTAGAGGTTATGAGGCCCAGCCCTGCCCTTGTCCTTCTTTTACGGGTGACACACTGGAGCAAAGTGGCTCGACGGGCCTCATGGCCAGGCAGGGGACAGAATGAGATCTGGAAGCAGCTGGCATTGAACCCCCTTGGCGCACTTGCCCTTGAATCCCCCCACCCACGCCCTCCCTTCCCCTCCTCCCAGGGCAGGGCCAATTCAGTGGGATGAGAGCCTGCGGACAAGAGGAAGCTGGGGCTCTGTGGTTTACTTAGAGGCCCGTGAAAGCGGCCAGGCGCCTCTCACAACCAGTGCCAGTCACGCGGGCAGCAGGCTGGTGGGGCAGAACCCTGGGCCCCAGAGGCACGGGCTGAGAGGCCCATGATGGCCCGTGGGGACCGTTCTCAAGATGGCTACAACCCATGATGGAACTGGGAGGCTGGGTGAGCTCTTTCGGGTGGGAGATGGGAGGGTGGAGAGAGGCGCGTTCTTGAGAACAGAAATTCAGACCTGGGAAAACAACCTGCCTTAACTCCTTCGGCATCATCTCTAGTTACAGCTGCCGTAGCCCACCAGCCAAAGTTCCACTAAGTGTGCATTATCTCATGGGATCCTCTTACCCATCCCTGAAATCAGTACCATGGTTAGACCCTCTCTCCCTCTATTTTTATTTTTACCTTCTTAATCATTTTAAGTGTACAGTTCAGTGGTAAGGACACGAATGTAGTTATACAACAGAGCCCCAGAACTTTTTCCTCTCTCCAAACGGAAACTCTATACCTATTAAGTAAGAACCCTCCAGTCTCCCCTCCCCCAGCCCCTGGCAGCCACAATTCTACTTTCTGTTTCTATGAATTTGCCTACCCTATATCCTACACAGAATGGAATTGTACAGGATTCATCTTTTTGGGACTGGCTTAGTTCACTTAGCATTATATCCTCAAGGTCATCTGTGTTGCAGTATGTGTCCTAATTCCCTTCCTTTTGAAGGCTGTATAATATTCCGTTGTATGGATAGACCACATTTGACTCTCCGCTCATCTGTCAATGGGCACTTGGGTGGCTCCCACCTTTTGGCTCTTGTGAATAGTGCTGCTATGAACATAAGGGCACAAAAGGTCCGTTGTGTCTTGCTTTCAATGCTTTTGGCTATATACCCAGAACGGGAATTGCTGGATCATATGGCCCTTCTATTTTTAATTTCTTCAGGAACCCACCCACCTGTTTTCCACAGTAGCCGTTCCATCTTACATTCCCACTGGCAGTGAGTGAGGGTGCCAATTTCTCCACATCCTCACCAACACTTGTTATTTTCTGTGTGGGTCTTTTTTTTAAACTTGAATACTAGCCCTCCTCCTTAATGAGCATGAGGTGATATCTCCTTATAGTTTTGATGTGCATTTCCCTAATTCTCAGTGATCTTTATCATCTTCTCATGGCTTTTTGGCCATGTGTTTATCTTCTTTGGAGAAATATCTGTTCAAGTCCTTTGCCCAATTTTAAATCAGATGGTTTGGTTTTGGATGTTGAGTTGTCAGAGTTTTTTAATATTCTTTTCCTGCTTAAAAAAAAGTAAAGGGTCAAAGAGGTGGATAACTGACTTCCTCCAGCCTTGGACAGGGGCTGCTGGCTTCCCCAGCAGCTGAGAAAGGCTGGCCCTCATGTATCAAGAGCGAGCTCCTGGCATATCCTCCCAGCCACACGGCTTGGGGCAAGCACTGCCCATCAGACGCACACCCTGTGCTCACAGCCTCGTGTGCCAAATTGCTGTTGGAAAACCAACCCCAAACGTTGGTTGCAAAGACTCAGAAGCATGTAATATCCATCTTCATAATGGTCCCCCTTTCTTCTTCCTCCCTCCCTCAAGGAAGGCAGAGAGAAAATGCTGCTGGTGGAAAAATACATTTAAATAGGTTGGTGTGGGGCGACCATCTGCACATCTGTTCTTAACAGGTTTCAGCTGAAACGACTGAAAATATACACAGATCTGTTTATGTGGAACCAGTTAAATATGATAAGATTTCAACTTGGAGGGTAACCATGGATTCGGTGGTGGGAAAACAAACGTGCCTCCCCCACGCTTGGTCCCCACGCGTCCCCATCCTTCACCACAGACGTTGTTGAGGGAATCGGATTTGCTGTGAATTAAAAAGATCTAAATTATTGGAGATTAGTTACAAACAAATTCAAGATGGTCCCGGCAGCCTCTCTGCCGCACACGATTCCTGCCTCGCCTCCAGTGTGGGCCGGGTGCGTCCTCAGTCATCGGAGAGAAGACTGCAGCTGGGACATCACTTGTTTCTGAATAATTCAGTCTTCGCTCCTGCAGCAAGCTGTTCAGAAGGAAAACGGCACGCAGGCTGCTGGCACACACGTGTCCCTTGTCTTCCCTGTTGAAAAACACCAGTGACCCCTGAGCGGGGAGGGAGCCTCTTCTGACCACCCCACCCGGTCACACTGTCATCCCATTACAGAGATGAGAAAACTGAGGCTCTAGGACCACCCCGACAGCAGAGAGTGAGTTGCTCCGAAGGAAGGAAGGTTGTTCGTCCTAAAAGTCCAATGGGGCAAAGCCACAGCTCAGAGACCCGCGGGGCCCGGAAGAAACGGGAGGAGTGAGGGGCGGCAGGCAGCTAATGAGTGATTTTAGCAGATTGATACTGGGGGACCAGACACCTTGGGCCCAGATGCTCTGGTTTTCGTAAAGAGAGGCAGAAGTCTGTTTACATGTTGGCTCAGGTATTGAAAATAAACCAAAACACCAGCCCCTGTGTGCGACCCCCACTGCGGGCCTTTGTGGCCTTTGGCAGAGGCTGCATTGGCTTCGCTCCCTCTCCAGGGCAGACTCGGGGGCCTGACCCTCAGGATTCTCGTCTCCAGGGCAGGAGGC